TGGCTTTCTACTTTAGTGCGGACTCTTGTCCTAAACCTAGCCCTGTAGACTTTGGACTGATTTGGAGTTCCATACCTGAGTTCTAGAGCTGCTACTAGTGCTCTATAGTTGTGCCTGTCGTCTGCTGACAACTGTCCAAGTATTTCCAATGGTTGTCCTTTCAAGCTTGTTGCCAGATATACTGCTTTCTGCTCCTCTGTCCATCCATTCATCTCTGCCAGTAGCTCAAATTGTGCTCTATATGCTTCCCTCATTGCCTTCCCATCGAATTCCTGTTGTTTCCTTCTTACTAGATCACCTCTATTGCTGACATTCATATTTGTGATATGACTTCTAACTGGACTGAATATGTCTGCATTAGGGTCTAGTTGCGGGGTCTGGAAGGGGCTTGCCATTGTCTGAGGCTGATTAAGTTGATGGTTAATGTATCCTCCTTGTGTAAAAGACAATAGATCATCCTTTTATGTATTTAATTCGATTGGAAATTTACTAATGTTTTCCATTTGTACTTCTTGCCACTGTTGTTGACTTTCCTCTATTTGCTGCTGACTTTCCTGCAACTGTTGGAGTCTTTCTTCCTATTTCCTTTCTTGTTATAGTTGCCACTGCTGTAATCTCTCTCTTCTTGTTTCGTTTCTTTTTCCTCTAACAGCTGCTGTAATCTCTCTTCTTGTTTCTTTTCTTTTTCCTCCAACAACTGCTGTAATCTCTTTTCTTGTTTATCTTCTCGTTCTTCTTGTTTCTTTTGCTGTTCTTGTATTGCTGCCATCAAATCTGCCAAGCTGTAGTTTGATTTGCCATCTCTTGTTTCCATCTTCTTTTTTTTATTTCGCTTCTGACACCAATTTGTTATGCCTCTGTGTTCGTTTGTTAATTTCCCGTACAATTTCTTTCGAATGAAACTTTAGTGACAGAAGTCCTTTCTTAAATAAAACTAGTTTATTCTTTCTCAGTTCAACTTTGTAATACACTTGATTTCCACAGTTACTTTAAGCACACGCTATAATTCACAATGATTCACGCACTTACTTACGGTCACTACCGCGCTTGAATCAATTGTCCGTCTTTATCTCTGCCTGTCTGCAATTCAATTCCGATTGATTAGTCTCACGTTAACCGGCGCACTTATATACAGGAATAGAGGGCGCCTAGCACATACTGGATAATTCGTGATGTTCCAGGGTCCTTCGAGAATATCATGACGTGTTACCAGAGTCACGTAACTACCGCTGTCGTAAAATTATTATAGAATCTACTGGAAAACTTGATTTCAAATCTTATATCTTTTTAGGTGTTCTAGGCCTATTGTATAAAACCTTTTTATTTTCAACGTCATAATTAAAACTCGCAGCTCCCTCTAGCTAACTTCTAAATTATACGAATACCACCATTAGAGCAGAGAGATAATGCAAGGCTGATATTTGATGGAGAAATGTTGCAATCTCAACGTACAGTATTACACAGTGGGCAAGCCTGGAAATATTACATAAATTTTGAATACTATAGAGAGAATAGCAGTTATGATAGCTATGGCTACCAGTACCACTACCATACTGTTGTACAACCATGTGGTATGCGACTGTGTCTGATTATACACCAATAGTAATATTAATAGTAGTACAGTGATATTGACAGCGTGTTTTGCGAAATGTATTTTGTAATTGTAAATTATTACATTTTATGTATAAATATGTACAGGTAATGATTTTTCAGTTTTATCAATTTTAAGTTCAAGAATTGAAGAAATATAACTTATAAGGCCTAAAAATACGTTATAATGTTTATTTACAGTTATAATATTACAATTGTTTAGTATTATATTTGTATTGACGTTCAAGAATAAGTTTAATTTTAAGCCTAACCGAGGAGCGGAATATTAACTAAGGGCCAGGTGAGCTAAGTGAAAAACCTCGTAAGATAGTTGAAACCATACTTCCAAGTTTCATTTTGAATAGAAAAATGAAACTTAAATGTTTTATAAGTAAAATTATAGACCTAGTAACAAATATCACTTATAAAAATGAGCAATGTGGATCTTGTAGTTGTAGTACTAGTGACCTGTACAGTCCTGGGTCCATCTTTCATTGTTTTTGAGGGTTTCAAATTTTTCAGCGGTATGGATTGAAAAACTATATAGATAATAAATTTGTAGTAGTAAAAACTGGAGACGATATTACTGCAATAAAAAGAAGAATCATCATCATGTTAGTTTATATGTGATTTTCACAGAAAGCATGTATGATTAGCAGTAAAACACTTTCTACAGGGGTAGCTGCAATTTTTAAAAACATAAAAGTATAATGTTTTATGATATTGGTCACAAATTATTTTTTAATAAAGAGTACTTAAATAAAGGAACGTGTACAAATGTTTAATTTTTATTTAATGTTTTATTATAGTATAATATAGCATTTGCATTTAGTAACAATTTAAAAAAAAAGATCAAGTTGCAGTTTTAGTAAAGATTTCTTAAAATAACAAACAAATATTTTAGCTATTTGCTATTTTATTTAAAAAATAAATGTAAATCAAACTGAACGAAACAGTTGTTTCTGTTTCTTAATAATTTACATTGCAATTTTATTCTTAAATTGCTAATAATGCTGTTTTGTTTTTAAAAAAAGCATACTTTTTAAGAAAATTCTTATTTTCAAATAGCTAGGATCAAATACATATAAATAATTATTTTTGTGTTCTTTTATAATTACTATACTGCTACATCAACCTGAAAAATTGGTATAAGAAACAGGAGAAATGCTTTATAAATGTCTTTACAGTAATGGTCCTCATTGTAGGACTTGAAGAACGGTTACTCTTGAACTTTTTGTAAAAATTATTGTGAATACAATTTGAAAATTATAATCTTAAACTTTTTAAGGAAGCATTAAAATATTAATGAATGAGGAAGTAAAATGCTGTTGCTAATAACTGCAGTAATTTTATTTCAGAGGAAATATTTTTTCATACTGTAGACCATCATAACCTCATACATGTTATTTGAGAGAAGCTTTTGAATTGATGCTATAAATTTCTGGGAAAAAACTTACCACTATAATAGAGCTAGAAGATATAGAAAATAATTTATCAGAAATCCCTTTGAAGGAATAATAATATTAAGATTGTAAATATAGTATTTTATAACACTAGGTGAATTAAGGAAATTTTAAGAAATATATGATGTACAAAAATATTTTAACTTAAATAGTTTTAGCATGAAGTTTTGTATTTTGATTATTTTCTTTTAAGTCAATATTTCTGGTTCTTCCAAAAAAATTGAATGAACAGTTGTTAACAAAAATGTTTTTTTTTTAATTTCCAGAACTAAGCTATTTTGTCAGTTTGTTTGAGGTTCTATATAACATATTATTCAAAACACTTACTGTTTCTCAAGGAAAAGCTAAAATTTTAGGAACAGTGTATTTACAGAATGATTGATGAATACATGAGTGCATGTTCATTTCATTCCAATCACAAGTCAGGGTTAAAAATTATTATAGACATATGAACATTACATCTTTACATATTTATACACCTTTATTTAACAAGGTTCTTTTGGTAGATCACGTACACAGCACTTAGCATTTTATGTAACTTGGCTTTTTTTTTATTTGTAGATATCACATCTTCATATGACTGGCCACTTCTAACTGATATTAAGTAATATCAGTAATAACTTTGGTTGTATTGAACTGATCAAATTGTTAACAGAGAGGGACATCACTTGCACGTGTGTATTAAAATTGAATGGAGCTTGTGAATATTAAGGTAACATGCTATTATGTTGGTACATATTGTGGCCCTGCCATTTATTTTGCAAGCAGTTAAAAGTACAGTTCTCAAAGTATTAAGTAAAGTGAAATGTATTGCTTTGTTAAGGCAAAATAGTAACACACAAAACTCGACAGTGGCCTTTGACAATGTCATACCTCCTAGTTTGGGAATGTCTGCAAAAACATGATGGCCCAGAAACATCAGAAATCAAAGTTTGTAGAATGTTTGTGTTCATGATAATAGTGAGTAGACATTCCATTCTGCGAGACCAGCACAAAAACTTTGATGCTGTGAGCTTAAATAAAAAGTAATTGTAAGAATAGACTTGCTAGAAAATTAGGCATTGATTTTGTATGTGCTTCACCCCCCCCACACACACATAAAAAAAAAAACTTATAGGATCGGCATTAGTATTCCTTTGCAGAAGGATTGGAGACACATTCTATAGAAATTTGTATAAGTCTGATACAGGGAATGTAAGTTATAGTTTGTTTAATTGGAATAGAGTACTAAAAAAGAGGGAGAGGAGTGGCTTTATACATAAAGTGTTAGTTACATCCTGTTCAATTGAGGTTAGCAAAACTAATAGCAATGAGGTTGACTCTATTTGGGCTTTTGTTAGCAGTTATGAGAAGAGAAGACTTTTAGTTGGAATTTGTTACAGACCCACAGATGAAACTGATGAAACTAATGTGAAATGCTAAAGTGAGATAAAGAATAAGTTATCAATCAAGTCATAATTAATTTTAATTTCAGGCATATAAATTGGGAAATGTTAGAACTAGACCATGGGGAACAAGATTATCATAGTAATTCTGAGTTTGTTAAGAGAAAAATTGAGATGTTAAAGATTGGGTGTGTGAGCCACTTGTTATTATTTTTGTAAGCCCTTGAATACTGGGCAAGTGCCAGATGATTGAAAGTTGGATAATATTACTCCTCTTTTAAAGAAGTTGATAAAAATTGTCTCGGTAACACTAACAGTAATTATAAATCTAACACTTTCACATCACTGGTGGAGAAAATTTTTAAAATCTGATAAAAGATACTTTGCAACATCATTTAACAATATGAAAAAATTTTTTTGGATAGTCAGTATGGTTTAATTTGGGGAAAATTTTTACCTTAATAATCTTTTGTCATTCTTTAAAGAGGTTACTGCTTATGTAGATTAAGTTAAGGGTGTGGATTTGGTGTGTCTGGATTTTCAAAAAGCATTTGACAAGGTGTTACATGAAGGGCTTATTAATAACAATTATGTCTATTGGTGTGAGGGTTTAAGTTGGCTCATTTGATAGAAAACTGGCTGGATGGAAGCAAGCAGTGTTGTTATAAATAGATTTCATTTTAACAGGATTAATGTCACAAGTGGGATACATCAGAGCTCAATGTTAGGACCTTTGCTTTTTTTAATTTACATCAATGACATAGGTGAACGAATGATCAATAAACTACTTAAAGTTACTGACGATATTAAGGTCTTGGTTGTTTTGGGCTGTGAGGAGGATGTTGCTATTTTATGAAAAGGATTTAGGTCATTTAATGAATTGGCCAGATAAATGGCAGATGGCTTTTAATTATCATAAATGCAAGGTGATGCATATGGATTATCATAATTTGAATTCTAAGTATAATTTGGATGGGAATAACTAACAGTGTTATGAAAGAAAAGGATCTTGGTGTTGTGGTTAATCAGTCTCTTAAGCCATCCAAGCAGTGTACTGTTGTTAGTGGTAGGGCAAATAGGATTTTAAGGTTGTATCTGCAGAACTATTGAATACAAGTCTAAAGAGGTTATAATTTCATTGTTCAGGGTACTTGTTAGGCCACATTTGATGAAGTGTGCTCAGTTTTGGGCTCCTTACCTTAGGAAAGACATTGAATTATTGAAAAGTATTCAGAACAGGGCTACTAGGATGATACCTGGGATAGAAAGGTTGTCATATAAGGACAGGTTAAAATCTTAAATTTTTTCACTTGAGAGAAGAAGAGTTAAAGGGGATCTGATTGAGGTACATAAGATTATTAATGGAATTGATAGTTTCAATGCATCATTTTTATTGTACGTAATGGTGTGAATGGTAGGGCTATGGTACATATATATTTTGGCAGTGTAGGAGTCATTTTCAACTAAGACTGTTTTATTTTTCTAACAGGGTAATTGGCCTTTTTAATGAGTTGCCTTCATATTTTATAAGCAGTAAATTTAAGAGTGTTTCATGCAAGGCTTGATAAATATTTGAATGATAAAGAACTGGCTTTGAATTTTTATGTATATATAGTTTAGTGGATGGGACAGCCTAGATGGATCAATAGATACATTGTCCATAAATGCTATGTTTGACTACTTGGAGTTTCAAATACCTTTTACCAAGGTGGACATAAACATTCTGATCACTAATTTTTGATATCCATGAGATATGGATATATCCATATTAGATATGACATTACATGTCATAGGACTATATTAAAGCATTTACGTGTTCATAACTGTGTGTGGAATTTTTTTGCCATACAAAGTATGAAATGTCACATCATGATCAATAATGTGTGAGGTACATGTAGCTACTTATAAACTGTATGAGGATCAGTAAGGTATTTTGTTCAGTATACATAATCTTTGTGTATATATGGGTAATTCATATTTGGGACCTCATAAATAATAATAAAGGATGTGCATAAAGTATTTGAGCTGCAAACTGACTTTAGTAAAATATGTTTAATTTGTGTATTATAACATTTACTTCAATGTTACAGATGTTGCTACCTAGTCAAGAGGAAATAAACTTATAACTCCAAAACCTAACAACTTATAATTTATGAGGAAATGGGAAGGATTATAGCAATCAGCATCTGGATGTTCATCGTGATGATGATTTTTGGAGTTGGTGGATACGTATATGTCCTGTGGATTCAGTACTGGAGGTTTGCTAAAAATAAACACTTCTCACATGCTGCTGCTATCAGGAGAACTTTCCTAGAGAACAACTTAACTTCTTTATCCTTGAAGGAAGTAGCCCAGAGCCTGAACTCTCCAAGCCAATACCATTTAGAAGTTACTGCAAATAAAACTGAAAAGAATAGTTTTGCTGAAGAACATAAAAGTCTTGTGGATAATTTAATAAAAAAAATTAATACATATAAACACCAACTGATAGTGCAGTTTCGTAAGTGGCAACTTCAAGGAGCCAGTGTAATTTCAGACCAAAGTCAGAGCCACAATGATTATAAAGTTCACTTTAAAGGTAAACGATCTTTTGGTTACAAGTCAGAGACTGATCTTGTTTGCAGTGCCAAACATGATGTGCCTGTCAGTATGTTGTCTGCTGATGACACCTTCTTTAAAGAAATTGGCCTGGCACCATTGTTTCCCAATAAGAATTTTAATCAAGTTTTAGGACTGTACAATAGCTGTGCAATTGTTTCAAGTTCTGGATCCATGTACAAGTCAGGGTTAGGCAAAGAAATAGGTAAGTGGACTGAGATTGAATGATATAAATCAATCTTTAATTTGGTCTCATCAAGTGTGACTTGCTGTTCAACATATATAAAAAATAGAAAAAGTTTTATCAAGTTTTTTTTTTCAAAATTAAAAGTAATTCAAATGTAGCATACATTAAAACTTTTAATGAAACATTCTGAGAGATTTAAGAACAAATTATTACAAAATAAAATGTCAGAGAATGGTAATTAAAGTATGCTATTAATTCTCAAAACTGTTTCATAACTAATGGTACCTTATTGGTATTTTATCTGTTTTCTTGTACAGTAAGATAGAGGCATGAAGACAAAATTATAAAAACAACATTGAGATTTCTTAAAATTATTGAAATATTTAACACTGCCAGTATTTACAAATTAGATAAACTCATGTTGGTCAGGAAAAAGTGACCCATTGTGAAATAAGTTTTTTCAGTTTCTTTCTTTTTTTTTGGAGCAATATTGGCTGATGGAATTTCTGATGACTGCTTCAATGAATGTTAAAAAAAAATTCAGTTCTGTATATGAAAATGGAACCTTTGTCTAGTAAATGTAAATGGTCTGGATGTCCAAAATGCTTAGCTTGCTCTTGTGGTGATTGTGAATGTGATGAATTATCAATTTCTGCTAAACTGAGTTGGGGACTTTGGAAGAAGCAGCTAAAAAGAGTATTGGCAAGTAAAATAAAGAAAAAATGGTAGAAGAACATGACCATGGGCAAATTACAATAGAAATGTTATAAATATCAATGATGAATTTGTACATAATGAAAATAACAAAATAAATGTTATTGGTAATGACATTTAACCTTAATTGGGGATGTTATGATGACAAAGGACATGAATACATCATGAAAGAATGGAAAAATATATATAATATCAGAGATGTTTTTGGAATAGATGCTTCTTTGATGTAAATTTTAACAAATCAAAGACATGTGAAAGTGAATTTTTTAATTCTATTGATAAAGCAAATCATATAATTATATTCAGCATTTCAGTACTAAAGAAAATATGCTCTCTTATCCTACTCAATGATGCGGACCAGATATTTCTTAATTTAGGAAAATAAATTTTAAAAGATAATAAAGAAACTAAAGAAATCATATCCAGTTACAAGTTTAAGAAAAATGTAATTTAAGTACAGTCAAAATATCCACTGTATTCTATCCAGAGAAGGGTGTTATTAGTTTCATTTTTTGTAAAATCAATATCAAAACCCAATAGACTACCCAGTTTGTTAGCTTCATACAGTATCTTGTAAATGCATTCTGAATGAGGCTGTTTACAACTGCAGTGCTAGTTATCTAACATTCCTAATATACATAGCTAATATTCATTGATACAGATTGATTGATTGATCTTTCTGTAGCCATATCTTCATCTATACTTAATATTTTGCTCCAAAAAAATTGTGAAATCCTTGATTTAAAATAAACTTTGAGCAGCTTATTTTCCTGTCTTAGGTTTAATTTGTTTTATCAACATTTTTCAGTTAAAAACAATCGATGAAGAAGGCTGTGTGTAAAGAATCTGTACCAATTAATGTCATAAATATTCTCAGTTTGATATGTTTTTATTGTTAGTGTTGGTCATTGTTGTTTGTATTGATGTGTTCAAAATGACTCAAATAGGCTTGTATATATGTTATTTACAAAATTTTCTGTTGTATGTTTGAATGGGAATGTTTTTCTACATAAATAGATTATAAGTTGTTTTTTTTAAGTATAAGTTCCAAAAATAAGAATATGCTTTTACCTTTGTAAACTATTTTGATTTTCTCTCTATTTTGCTGTTAAGTGTGTATTTATTGTAGACATAGCAAGAAAAAAGAGTCTTGCCTGCCTTTTTTCAAGAGTATTTTGGTACACATGTTCCCAGTAATCAAAGGAAAGTTCTGTTTTTAACCCTTAACTGATTTTAACATTATTTTAATTGTTACATTATTAATAGTTTTACTTGTAATAGCTCATATTTTGTTTTGTAATGGAATGTTTAAACATATTTTGGTTGGAGTGATGGGTAGAATATATATAAATAACCATTTTATCATTCATTAAGTGCAGTTGTTATTTATTTTTTCAGATACACATGATGTAGTGCTGAGATTTAATGATGCACCAACTAAAGGTTATGAAAAAGATGTTGGTAACAAAACAACAGTCAGGATTCTCAATTCACAGGTGGTTTCAAAACCAGAGTTTGACTTTTCTCACTCACCACTGTATGAGAATATGTTACTTATAGTCTGGGATCCTCCTGGTTATGAAGACGACATAAAAAAGGTAAGGATGGTGTGCAATGTTTTTTAAAAGTAGAATCAATGTAATACAGGCCTCGACAAATCCCGGACACCAGGTCACTATAATGACTAAAAATATCATTATGGCTTTTATTATTTTCTCCCATTTTATTCATGCGTAGGGCTGTGCTAAATAGAACTCGAATCTAGAACAGTTCTGGACTCTTGGAAGTCCGGAACTATTTTCACATTCTTTGAGTCCTAAATCTAACTTTATTTCTAGAATTTTAATGGTAGATTCAGCACTTCTTCATGTTTTTTCAGGAATGAAGTGCTGCAGTCACACAACACGTTACTAATTTGGTGCCATTTTGTTTTTCTTCTTTCTCTCAATTCAACCAATCAGTGCGTGTGTTTAGACTCAGACAGAACCAAAGGCAGTTAGTTCAGGCAATACTCTCAAGTGGTTGTTGATATTTTTAGCATGCATTTGATACTGTGAAAGTTAGTAAATATACACTGGTGCCTTGATCATCTGCGCTGGTCTGTGGAAAGCAAAAAATCACGGATAACAGAAACAGCGGATAATCGAGGCACTAGTGTACTTCACTAGTTAGTCATTGTTTAATCTACATAAAATTTTTCAATATATTTAAGTTCCTAGTTTTAAATTATAAAAGTCATCACAATCATAAAAGCTAAGTTTTGGTTGGTCAGTCAGTCAGTCGATCATGCTCGATTTATCTGCATTTTTTGAGTTGCATGAGTTCAGTTCCACTTTTTCTCCTACAATTTTCCTCTTTTGATTGCCCATTCCTGTTGTAATTGAATTTAATTGCTAACATAGGCATAACTTTAATAGCTCCTAAATTTTGGCACATTTTCTGCTTTAGACACATAAGTGCATTTGCACCCTATCAATACCTGTGAAAAATATGTCAAAAGATTAGTGCAGATCTATGCTTGGGAATTATTACGAAAAAGCCTTTATTAAAACATACTGAAGATCCCAATTATCTGTAGAGAAGAGTACAATGCATAGCAACATCCAAACACAACCTGAACATGCATCTGTGGTTAAAGGACGTCTGCCATGCATCATAGAAAAGTTCTTGACAACTGAAGTTGAGTGAAATCTTTAAGAAATCTTAATGTGTATTTTGTGTGTTTTTGTATACAATGTTTTTTATCACTAATCAAATAAAGTTAACCAAGCTACAAATATTTAGTATTCCTGTCCTAACAGCTAAAAATAAAAGAGGCAAGGCTAGGCTTGAACTGGCTGACTTATGATTTGAACATGCCAGATCCTGTACGCGAAAACCCCGGATATCATGCAACACCTGAACATTTGCAACCAAAATTATCTTCTGAGTGACAATTTCTCCAAAACATGTAAATTATTGTCTAGGATTGTAATGGCACAATTATTTTGAGAAAATTTGGAGAAAAGAAAAAAAACCCGTGGAAAATCGAGGCACTAGTGTAGCCCCCATTTCCTGGTACAAACAGTAGTGAAGTTAGATTAGGCACACCTGGCTCCTGAGTTTTTGGGCTGGCTTCTAAATCTGCAAATATTTGTCGAGGCCTGATGTAATATATTCTATATGATCAGTCACAGAAATGTGACATTAAATGAGCAAGTGCTTATACTGTGGTAAGTGTAGTGCCAGAAAAGCCATCTTATACTGGATTATCTGTTGTTATTTTACAACAGTATATTCCTTCTGAGCTAATTCTATAGATAAAGTATAATAAAACCTTTTTTTTATGTTCCAAGTTTCATGACATAATCTCCACCACCATAAGAAATAAGTGGAGAATATAGTAGGTTATGGGTAGTTTTACTGATGTTAGTCTTTGGTGTGATTTTATATAGATAAGTAGAACCTCAAGAAAAACAAGATTTGTGTTCTTCTCATCTTTTAAAGTTTTCTGTCTTCTTTAAAACTTTGAATGTTCACATCTGTAAGTATTGTTTATTCAATTAGAACAATATTTAATGAGACATGTAGATAGTTATGTACTATTTAAAATTCACTCACATTTAACTAATATTTAGTTACTTGTTATATCTAGCTCTTGAAACTTCTTAAAATTTTTCAAACAGTGGTACCAGCATCCAGATTTTGATTTTTTTCCTTTCTATTGGGAGAGACGACAAAGACTTCCTGAAGAAAATTTCTTTGTAGTGCATCCTACAGTCATTTGGAAAGCTTGGAATTTCATTCAGGAAAATACAGCAGTACCTATAAAAAAGAATCCTCCATCTTCAGGGTTTTTAGGTGAGATTTGTGCACAATTGTAAATTAACTTTTGAATACATTAATAAACTTCATCAGTATGAAATACAAATATTACAGTGTTTAAAATGCGAGAATTCACATTATCATCCAAAGTATATAGCCAAAATATATATATA